TAGTTTCTGGTCTGTCAAGCAGTTGGGTCACTGATAGCACAGATTTAGTAATCTGACCACTCAACTTTAAAATAGAAGTGTAGGCCAGGTGTAGTGGCTCATGCTTATAATTCCAGCATTTTGGGAGGCTGAAGCAGGTGGATCACTTGAGGTCAGGAGTGAGGTCAGGAATTTGAGACCGGCCTGGCCAACGTGGTAAAACCCCCGTCTCTGCTAAAAATACAAAATTTAGCCGGGTGTGGTGGTACACACCTGTAATTGAAACTACTCCAGAGGCTGAGGCAGGAGAATTGCTTGAACCTGGGAGGTGGAGGCTGCAGTGAGCCAAGATCGGGCCACTGCTGCCTCCAGCCTGAGTGACAGAGCGAAACTTTATCACACAAAAAAATTAATTACTTAAAAAAATGAAAGTGTATAGAGGTGGTAGTTGGAACAAAAAAATTCACTTTGAAGTTACAGACCTAGACACCCGAAAAGTCAATTTTTATGTTATGAATCATTTTTTTACATTCAGTCATTATGTATTCTAGTCAATTGTTGAACCAATTATGGAAAATATCAGAGAGGCGTTGTTTATGACTTATATTTACTAGAAAACCGTCTGAAATAAAGCCGTCAGGTTGAGAATGAACTGCGTAGATGGAATTCATTCAGAAACGTGCATAGAAATGTTTAGGGAAGCTAGAACTTTTCTCCATTTTGTTTTTATGAATGCAGTTAATTTAGTTGCTTATGAATTGTCCACTATGGTGTATGTGGGATATATTTTTTAGTACCAAATTGGCTTCCTTACCATTAGTTAAGGAAGGGATTTTTACAGGGATTACTAACCAATTTTACTATCTACTCAGAACATAATTAGGTAAAACCTGAAAATGATACATTTTCTTTAAAAATATATCCATTAGGTTATGTTACTGGATTTTGCATACTAGTATTTCTTTTCGTTGGTATAGGATATGTTTTGTAAACGCGAAATGTAACTTCCCCCCTTCATGTATTTCTCTAAATGGAAATAATTTAAAATAGGCTTTGAAACAAGTGGCCTTTGCTGTGCATTTACTAATACTATCATATAATGTACGAATTATTTATATATATATATATATATATATATATATATATATATATATATATATGCATGTTGTTGTTATTGAGATGGGATCTCCCTAATTTGCCCATGCTGGTCTTAGACTCCTGGGTTCCAGGGATGCCCTTGCCTTGGCCTCCCAAAGTGATGGGATTAACAGATATGAACCACCATGCCTAGCCTCAAATGATATTACTGTAATTTTAGAACCACCAAAAAAATGTCAGGCTTTTCAGGGAGAATGATGAATATTTTGACAGCTAACAAGTTCATCCCAGTAGTGGTATATAATATGTACTATATACCTGTGATATTAAAATTGTATGGAGGGTAATCAGGGAAAAAATGTCTAAAAGTAACTTCTTGAAGGAAGAGAGACAGGGATAATGAAAATGTTGAGAATCCTTGCTTTAAGGAAATTTACAGGATTTCGGTCATTTTATCATCCATTTTCTCTGGCTTGGCAACAGATATTTCTATATTATGTAGAGCATAGTCTTGTGTAAAATGTTGAGAGAATAGTACCTTGAATGATTGTAGTGATTTAGAATGGTAGGGAATGAAAAAAATTAGTCCTTTTACAAACCCTAAGAGCTGTTGCTTACTCCAAGCTTTATGTAATGCAGCTAGCTAGCTGCTATGAACAGTAGATGAGATGGGGCAGCATTTGGTATCAAAGATAATGAGAGGGTGATGTTGATATTGTCTTGTTTTTGAATGTCATTAAAATTAAAGGTAATAATTGAAAAGTCCTCTCATGTAATATAATTTGATACTGTTAAATATTTCTTTGACAAAGTGGAAACCTTTTTATTAGTTCAGTAGGCTTGCAGAGCTCTATATATGACCTGTAATACACATTTTGCATAATTTTTCCTGCAAACATCATACATGGTTTCTCACTTTATGAAGTAAGAGCAAAGTTCGGTGTATTCTGTATTTTTTTACTGTGGAGGATCAATGTGATATGAAGCTGATTAAAAGGAAGATTACTGATCAAGAAAGTGTGCTTTGAGTTTCATTTTTAGTAATGGCAGCAAATGCATTCAGATTCATTATATTTTTTTTTTTTACAAAGTTTAAATGTATGCTCTTGGGGCTAAGAGTACAGGCTGTGGCCTTGGAACAGAGTGAAGCTAACTAGTCCATATGGAGATCAAATCCCAGGACCGTGGTCTTAATTAGGATCATACTACAACCACTTGGAAGCAGGACAACTACCAGACAAAATGGCTGATCCTAAATATTGGTAGAATCATATCTATGTGGAAAATTGGTTTGTGTCAACATAGGAATTCATGGATGGACAAAAATAGTAAGTGATTGTTGATGTACCAGGTTAGTGTAGCTCCAATTATGCTTGAAATTTTTTGTCTACTTATGTAAACATTTTCACAGGTTTATAGCTAATAAAAACACAAAGAATCTGTTCACCTATTTATGTAAGTGAAAGTGTAAATATAAAAATACATTTAGTCCTGCTGTTAATAATCCTTCCATTCTTTTTTACTTTCCCTCAGACCATATATTGTGATTATAGTTTCTGCTGAGGAGGATGGAAACTCAACTCCCTTTGAATAATATTAATAATTCTACTTGATGTACAGAACCGGATTGCAAGAGAGTTTAACGTGCCCACCACCCCTTGTGGGAAACCTTTTAGTATCTTAAGTGCATGGAACTACTGCTGCAGCCACGGCGCCTGAAGCTTCAGCTACACTGAAACTTCATAACAAAACTTACCCTCTTTTTTCCTAATTTCTGTGGTCGTTGCAATTTGAGCATGTTACTTTGTTTAACAAAAACTCATAAAGATTATTTTAGTATTGCTGTACAAACAAAATAAAATTATGGCATTATTCAGTGACTTGTGGTCTTAGTTTTCTGCCCTTTGTTAAAGATAGTTTTGTTCCCTGATTTAACCTTGAGATCCCAGACCCCTTATTAAGTAAGTCTTATAATAGTCTATCTACCTCGTAACAAGTAAAATTGACATGTAAAGATTTCTGTAATTAGGAAACTGGATAAGTCATTAATTAGAAGATTACCTGATGATTACTTGAGGTCCCTTTATTTATGTATATAAATGATATTTCCCCTTCTAGGATTTTTTCTTCTTTTTCTTTCAAAAGATCTTACTCTAGCTCTCTTTTAAATAAAAAAAACAGTGGCCCAGGCCCATAATAATATCTTGTTGATCCATTTACCATCATATAACAAATGCTTTTCTCTGGATCATTCTCTATCCATTTATGGACTATTTTGGCTAAGAGTCCCTAGAACTATGAGCTCCTCTATATGTGCCATTTGTATAGTTCTTTAGAAAATTGTAAATGGGAGAATCTGTAAATTATGTCTGAACTTTTAAGTTGTCTTGTAATTGTCATTTTCTTATCTCAAATGTTCCACCTCATAAGAATAAAATGGTTCACACCAACATAAGTAGTTGTGGAAAGGGAGAGTAGAAGATAAAAATGGAGATTTTCCTGTGCTATAGGTTTAGTCAAGCTGTGGTCTAGTAATGGTTATCAGAGGCAATTAAATAGTGTTGAGTGTTCTGCTTTTACCTGCATTTCATTTTTCATGTACTTATTTACAAACTGAATCCTCTTTTCAATATTATTCCTGCTCCTGTGTCTGTTTCCTTTTAGTTTTTTTTCTCTGAATATCATTTAGGCATGTAAGTGACCCCCAGTAGCGTTGCTTTAATTCTGCTGGTGAAGCTTTAAAGTGGGAAAGCTTTACTATACTCTGTTTTGTTGTCTGTTGCTTTTCTCTTGCTAATTTACTTGACTAGATAACTAAGAATTCAGGTAAGCATTAGCTCTTTGTTCACTGAGAATGATACAACTTTCAAGATAATTAATTTGGATAGTTCTACATGTATTTCGTTTGTTATTTCTCTTTCCCTTGTTCATTTATTATGACATCCTGAATTATTTACATGCCCACATTTCTTTTCTTTCCTGTGGCTAAGCTCACTACTTTTTTCTAAAACTAGTAGCTTCCTCAGGGTTAGAAAACAAGATCTGAATACTATATAAAATAGTAACTTTTTCTGTGGTCAAATATTAAAGATATAATGGCTTTGGATTTTGGGGTGATTTTTCCAATGTCAATTAAAAAACTTTTCTATTTGCATTTATGTGTTGTTGCTTAAGAGTATTTCCAAGCAAAGTTTTGTTATTACTTTCTTTTGTCTCCATGTCATTATTTTTCCAAAACAACTTATTTTTTATATTATAATATCAGTGGACAAGTAGGATTCATTATAAAGGAATTAACTTTAGGCCGGGTGCAGTGGCTGAAGCCTGTAATCACAACACTTTGGGAAGCTGAGGCAGGAGGATTGCTTGAGCTCAGAAGTTGGAGACTAGCCTGGGCAATGTATCGAGACCTGGTCTCTACAAAAAAAAAAAAAAAAAGGGTAAAAAAAAAAAATTTTTTTTTTTTTTTTTTTTTTGAGATGGAATCTCACTCTGTCACCCAGGCTGGAGTACGGTGACACGATCTTGGCTCACTGCAATCTCCACCTTCGGGTTCAAGTGATTCTCCTGCCTCAGCCTCCTGAGTAACTGGGATTACAGGCGCGTACCACCACGCCCAGCTAATTTAGATGTGGTTTCACCATGTTGGCTAGGCTGGTCTCAAACTCCTGACCTCAAATGATCCGCCTGTTGCGGCCTCCCAGGTGTTGGGATTACAGATGTGAGCCACTGCGCCCGGCAAGAAATTAACTTTTTAGGCCTGTTCAAGAATACATCTATTACAGAAAGTGAAAACAGCTTTGTACTGAGATCCTTGGCCTTTTTCTATCAGATTTTTAAAACAAAAAGTTGAATTTGTGTTCAAATCTGTTTAGTAGTATTTTGGCTTTTGTATAATCTAGAGCATTATTTCTGTATCTCAGGAAGCTGAATATGGTGGGCATGATCAGATAGATTTGTATGACGATGTCATATCTCCATCTGCAAATAATGGAGATGCCCCAGAAGACCGGGATTACATGGATACTCTCCCACCAACTGTTGGTGATGATGTGGGTAAAGGAGCGGCACCAAATGTTGTCTATACGTATACTGGAAAGAGAATTGCATTGTATATTGGAAATCTAACATGGGTGAGTAAAGTTAATATATGAATTAAATTACTGGTAATTGATTTCAAACTCTTCTAGTAATTGATGTTTTTCTCCAGATCAAAAGTTTGAAGGTGCTGTATTTGTTTCTTTGTATGTGTTTGCTTTTGCAATGAGAAGGGAAATACAAATTTGTTTGCAACGTCATTCCAGTTCTTCTAGTTTTGAGTTTTGTGGTTATTCAGTTTTTCTTGGTGGAGATAACTAGTTAAATTAGTTTTGTCTTCTGTTATCTTTTTTATGCTACCACTTTACCTTGCTTCAGATATCCCAATTTCACTAAAAATAATGGTACGTGGGGTCTCAAACCAGGATTCAAGTGTAAAAGGAAAGAGACATGGTGTCACTCCTGGTTTAAAAATAGTGTCCATTATTTAATTTGTATTACAAATTTGAGTTTTGTTTCTGCTCTTAAGTTTGAAATCTGATTTATAGAAGCACTGCTGTATATGTGTTAATTTGGGTTGTCATGAGACTAAGATTATTGATTTAGAGCTTTATTAACTGCACATATGAATATTTATATTTTTATTAACATTACATTTTAAATATCATTAAAATAGTCCTATAGAATTTTTATATCTCTACTTAGTTATTAGATATACTTCAAAGTTAAAAAAAATTGTATATCTAAAAATAAAACTTGGCACTCTTGCATTTCCTTAATAACATGGTATTTTAAAATGTTTTATTTACATTTCTTTTTTGTTTGTTTTTGGAGACAGAATTTGCAAAACTCTTTCACCCAGGCTAGAGTGCAGTGGTGTAATCATAACTCACTGAAGGCTCAAGTGATCCTTCTGTCCCAGCCTCCAAGTAGCTAGGACCACAGGCATGTGCCACTACGCTTGGCTAATTAAAAAAACAAACAAACAACAAAAACTTTTGTAGATCTGACTTCTTGTTAGGTTGCTCAGGCTGATCTCACATTCCTGGCCTCAAGTGATCCTCCTAACTCAGCCTCTCAGAGTGCTGGGACTATGGTGCCCGACCTATTTACATTTCTTTTAAAACTAATGGTAATAGATCTCCCACCACCCAGTCAGCATTCTACAATATTGGAGACAGTAGCAGTGTAGTTACGAAAGTATGGTTGCTAAGTAAGCATTTGGATCTTAGCTCCAGCTTCTATTACTAGTTTCGTGACCTTGGGCAAGCTTTTTAACTTCCATTGTATCATATGTAAAATGGGGATAATAATAGGGTTACAGGGTTGTTATAAGAGTTAAATAGTTGGTACATAAAGTACATGGTAGATATTAAATACGTGTTAGTTTTTTTCTTCTCTACATTTTAATTCAAAAACAAGGTAAAATTCAGAATTTTTTTTTTAATGGGAGGAAGTCAAATTGGTTTTATTCACAAATTAAAATCATAGCAGTTTAAAGCTATAAGGGACTAGAAACTCTTGAAAGTCAAATCCTATTGTAATCCCAAGGGTATATACCTTCTGGTTTCTGAAATGCTTATCAGAGAATGAAGCTAGGTTCTCAGATGTTTTTGTGCTGTTTAAAGCTTGGAGCCTGACTGGCCATAACTAGACTTAGATTTGCGCTCAGCATTCATTTTCTCTTTTATGTCCCGAATTTCCACTTAAAAACTAAATTGGGATATTAAAAATCTTGGCTATATTTTAATGGTTAACGTGGGGGAAAATATCTTGCAGTGGACAACAGATGAAGACTTAACTGAAGCAGTTCATTCTTTGGGAGTAAATGATATTTTGGAGATAAAATTTTTTGAAAATCGGGCAAATGGCCAGTCAAAGGGGTAAGAATTATTTCTTTCTTTTTGACTTAGTTAACTTTCCTTTAAGTTAATGTTATTTACACTTGTGGAGGTTCTTGGACAAAGATGGATACTATTCATTTTACATACCCTATTACCTAGCACACTAAAACTAGTGGAGTGGAGATGTGGACAGATCTATATTCTAATTTTCCCAAGCTTTCTCCATTTGTGGTTGAAATGGTTGTTGAAATGACAGTTTAAGAACCATTATTCTCTCTGTGATTAAGAGATGGGAGATGATGAGCAACTGAAGAATAATGTGTATTACATGGATGTTTTGCTTTATTTAACTATTGAACTATACAAGTGAGAAGGGTGAGAATGAGAATATCCAAAAGTAAGAAAATAAAATGTCACTATCCTACCATCCATTGATAATTACTTTTAACATAGTGAAGATTCTTTGGGGCTTTTCCTTAAAAACAAAAGGAATTATAATTCATGTGTTTGTGTTTGATATAAGGAATAAAAATAAATACATATCCTCTCTAATGTCTAATTCTTTCACATCATACCTGGTATGCTACTGTAATTTACCTCTCTTACTTTTGATTATTTTGGTTGTTTCCACTTTTGCCTGTTATAAATAATGTTGCAGCAGGCATCATTTTATCTAAGTCTTTAGGTACAGATTTTGGATTTTCTTTTAAGAATAAATTGTTAGATGCACAAAGATAAAGATATGCTTATTTCATGTATTGCTTAGTTATCTTAGAAGGTTATACCAATTTATACTAAATGAGAATATTTTCAAAATGTATGCAGAGTCTGAAAACTTCTCACCAACTTCACTTACACCACTTGATCAAAGCCACTATCCTCTCTTACTTGAACTTTGGTAGTAGCTTCCTAACTGGAAGTATAGACTGCCCTCTACAGTCTGTACTTCACATAGTAGAAGTTCTTTAAAAAAAATGACATCAGTTTCTGTTCAGAATATTCTCATGGCTTCCTGTCTCACTCAGTCTTTACCACTGTCTACAAGGTACTTTGTGATCTGTTTCCCACTACCTTTCTGACCCTATTCCGTACCACTCTTTTTTGCATCCACATTAGTCCCTTTGCTGTTTGTCAGACCAATTCTTACCTAGGACGTTTAGCCATTTTCTTTTCCTGATTTACTTTTCCCCCTCAAATATCCACATGGCTTACTCTTTTGCTTCATTTAGGACTCACACTATTTAAGAGTTTTTCTTCCACGACTACCTTGTGCAAAGTAGCACCTTTCTATGCTGTTTCCTTTATTTCTGCTCTGATAGATTTTACTTGTTGTGTCTTCTTGCTAGACTTTAAGCTTCACGAGAGCAGAGATTTTGTTTTGTTCACAATTACATCCCCAGCTCTAGAATGGTACCTTGCGTATAGGAGGTAGTGCTTAGTAAATATTTGTTAAATTAATTTAGTTGTTTCTAAATATTGTGCCCAAAGATAATCCTGGCACAATCAGCAGAATTTGTTGAGTATAATAAGAAGTATAGGTTAAAAAGATTATATTGAACATTAGGGGGGAAAAGATCTTGAGCTTCTCAAGCTGCTAAGACTCTCCCTCCCTCAAAGAATTTAGAATATCCTATAGCTATACAAATTGGTAATCATTCTGATTATTTTAAATTTGTTTTTCTTATTGAGATATAATTCACATGCCTTAAAATGCACACTTTTAAAGTGTACAGTTCAGTGATATTTGTATTTATGAAGTTTAGCAACCATTACCACTGTCTCTTTCCAGAACATTTCATCAGCCCAAAAAGAAACCTTGTACCCAATTAGCACTCACTCTCATTTCCATTTTTCCTATCTGCTGGCAACCACTAATGTGCTCTGGATAGGCCTATTCTGGACCTTTCATTTAAATGGAATAATAAAATATGTATTCCTATGTGACTGGCTTTCTTCCTTAGCATAATGTTTTTAAGGTTCATCCATGTTGGAGCATGCATCAACATCTCTTTTTATGGCTGAATAATATTCCACTACATGGATATAGCACTTTTTAAATCTATCAGCTAATGGACATCTAGGTTATTTCCACTTAAGGAAAATGCCCCTGTGAATATTTGTATACCCATTTTGTGTGAACATGTATTTTCAGTTCTGTTGAATGTATACTTAGGAGTGGAATTACTGGGTTATATGGTAACTCTATGTTTAAACTTTTGAGGAATTGTCCGATTGTTGCCAGAGTCATTGCACCATTATTAATATGTACTGATCACCAGCGTGCAAAGATTCCAGTTTCTTTACATATTTAATACTTGTCGTCTTTTTGATTATAGCCATCCTAGTGGGTATGGGGTGGTATCCTGTGGTTTTGATTTGTATTTCCCCAGTGGTTAATGGTGTTGTGCATCTTTTTATTGTAGCAAACAGTGGAAGCGACCCAAATGTCCATGAACTGATGGATAAGTTTCTTTTAATGTGGTATATTTATAATGGAAAATTATTCAGCTTTAAAAATAAATGAAGTAGTGATGTATACTGTAACAAGGGATGAACCTTGAAAATATACCAGTTAAAGAAGCTGATCCTAAGGGACCTCCTATTGTATGATTCCATTTAGATGAAATGTCCAGGATAGGCCAGTACAGAGACAGAAGTTAGATTTAATGGTTCCATAGAGTATAAGGATGGGAAGAAATGGGAGTGATGGCTAACGGGTATGGATTTTCTTTTTGGGGTGATGCAAGCGTTTTAAAATTGATGATGGTGGTGGTTATAACACTGTGAAATACTAAAAACCAATGAATTATACATTTTAAATGACTGAATTTTATGGTATGTTATAGATGACGACTAAAAAATGTGTACTTGTATAGCTTCAAGAAATATTTTCAGTTTTTAAAGTTATTTACTTTTAGAGACAGAATCTTGCTCTGTTGCCGACCGAGGCTGGAGTGCAGTAGTGTGATTATAGCTTACTGTAGCCTCAAACTCCTGGGCTTAAGTAATCCTCCTCCCTCAGCCTTCTAAGCAGCTGGGATTAAGGCATAAGCCACTGTTCCCAGCTGTTTTTTGTTTGTTTGTTTTACATAAAAGCAGATTAGATTAAGACATTTTTACAGAAGAGTAATAGTAATAATACTGATCTCTTTACTTTGTATCCTCACCACTTAAACACCTTTTAGGTTTGCCCTTGTTGGTGTTGGATCTGAAGCATCTTCAAAAAAGTTAATGGATCTGTTGCCTAAAAGAGAACTTCATGGTCAGAATCCTGTTGTAACTCCATGCAATAAACAGTTCCTGAGTCAATTTGAAATGCAGTCCAGGAAAAGTAAGCAATCCCTCAGAGGCTTTTATTAAAATATGTACATTTTAGACCAGTGGATTTGTTAGATGTTAACACAAAGTCATCTTAATACTAGTTCACTAGAAACTCCATTTCACAAAGTCTGTGCTTTGAATTTGATTTAATCACTGGTTATGAGTGTGGGCCTATGTACTAGAAACCTCCTGTTCCGTATTTCTCCAAATGTAAGGGACTCTAGTACACAACAGTGTGCAAGTTCTGTAGCCCTGCCATTCTTGTCCTGTTATTTCCATCTTAGATAAAGAGACTACATTCTAATTCTTAGATTAAGGGAAAGCTTTGTGTATATGTGTTATGGTGGGGGAGAGATCACTGATAACCAGAAAATGTTCATTGATTTTTCTGCTTGGCAACAAGACCTTTCACCACTTGGTAAATTGAATATGGAAAAGATTTGTCATTACATATTTAAGGATGTTAAAGAGATAAGATGGATGATTATGTAATTAACAGAAATTCAAGTGGTTCCTTTTCTTTTAATGTTTTAGCACTTAAGACTTAACTGAAGAAGTATGTTACAAAATTTAAATGATGTAATACTGAAATTAAGATATCTTGAAGAATTTCGGTCTTGGCTGCTGCAGAGTACTGGTATTGAAAGTAACTGATATTTACTTACGGAAAATATATTTAAACCTGGATATTTTGAGTCTTTAAAAGTACCCAAATAAATGTGAATGTTTTCCTGACCCATACTTTCTCATGTAGTTTGGATAGTCACAAGGCATTTGCAAGTTAATATATTATATAAATGAACTTTGAAATAGAGTTGTTTTTAATAATAGTGGCTACATTTCAGAAAACTATTTTTAATAAGTGCTATTTATGAGTATTTGGATATTTGCAGCTACACAATCAGGACAAATGTCTGGGGAAGGTAAAGCTGGTCCTCCAGGAGGGAGTTCCCGTGCAGCATTTCCACAAGGTGGTAGAGGACGGGGCCGTTTTCCAGGGGCTGTTCCTGGTGGGGACAGATTTCCTGGGCCAGCAGGACCAGGAGGGCCACCTCCACCTTTTCCAGGTAAAACTTTTCTTAAATTACCATGGATAAAACATGTCTACCTAATACCTCTTTTCCTTTTCTCTCTTTTTCAAGTAATGCATTATTAATGTGACTTACTCTCCTTGTTATGCTATTTTTGGAATCCAGGAAATTTGATCAAGCATCTTGTTAAAGGAACTCGGCCTTTGTTCCTGGAAACTAGGATTCCATGGCATATGGGGCACAGCATAGAGGAAATACCCATTTTTGGCCTAAAAGGTCTTTATTTTTCTCCAAACTTGCTTGACTTATATATAGAATATTTACATCCGTCTTATTTTCTTACCTCTTAAAAAAATCCTTTCAAGATCATTTTTCCTTGTTTCACTTTCTAGCTTGGCATCAGAGTAGAATATAAGGTGGGTGATTTCACTGTAAGAAGTGTGTGTACACTAAAAGATGGAAAATATTTCTAGGTGTTGTAATCTTTTTTAATTAAAATTTTTGTTTCAATAATTTTTCTTAAACATAAATTGAGCTAGTTAAATATGAAAGGATATACTTCATCATTGTAGTTGATAATGTAACATTTGTCATGTGAGTTTTATTTAAAGACAAAGACTTGGTATATGCATTATGCTTTTAAAGTATAATCTTGGCGTATGAAAGTTAAAATACCTTATTAGTGAAGTGTTTTTTTTTCTCTCTCTCCCCTTTGTTCTTTAGCTGGACAGACTCCACCACGTCCACCCCTAGGTCCTCCAGGCCCACCTGGTCCACCAGGTCCTCCACCTCCTGGTCAGGTTCTGCCTCCTCCTCTAGCTGGGCCTCCTAATCGAGGAGATCGCCCTCCACCACCAGTTCTTTTTCCTGGACAGCCTTTTGGGCAGCCTCCATTGGGTCCGCTTCCTCCTGGCCCTCCACCTCCAGTTCCAGGCTACGGCCCCCCTCCTGGCCCACCACCTCCACAGCAGGGACCACCTCCACCTCCAGGCCCCTTTCCACCTCGTCCACCTGGTCCACTTGGGCCACCCCTTACACTAGCTCCTCCTCCGCACCTTCCTGGACCACCTCCAGGTGCTCCACCGCCAGCTCCACATGTGAACCCAGCTTTCTTTCCTCCGCCAACTAACAGTGGCATGCCTACATCAGATAGCCGAGGTCCACCACCAACAGACCCATATGGCCGACCTCCACCATATGATAGGGGTGACTATGGCCCCCCTGGAAGGTAAGTTAGTGTGTGTCTGTAAAAGTACTTGATAAAAGATAGGAATAATAACTCTGAAAATAATAGATTATTATAGATGTATAAAAATGTTATTTCTGCCTTCCAAGAAGTTCAGGTGTCTAAGCTGCTACTCTGTTTTAGCTGAAAGGTACTCGTATAGGAGAATTGTGTTTAGACGTGTTCTCTTTATAGGAAAGTAGCATGCTTCAATCTGGAAAAGTAACCACTATCTCTAAGGCAAATGTCAGAAGCAGCTAGTATGAATTGCTTTACACTGTTGTGACTAACTTAGGAAATCTGTTGAGTTTGAGTTAAGGTTTATATTTTTATTTTACAGGGAAATGGATACCGCAAGAACGCCATTGAGTGAAGCTGAGTTTGAAGAAATCATGAATAGAAACAGGGCAATCTCAAGTAGTGCTATTTCGAGAGCTGTGTCTGATGCCAGTGCTGGTTTGTATATTTCTTGTATTAATGTTTCTTGTTTATGTTATTAGGAATGACCTAAAAATGTAAGTGCAGTCTAGAAGATAGGTCATTTACATGTAGTAGTTCTTTTTGTATTCCCAAATCATTACCTATCATTTATTTAAAAAGCATTGAAAAAAGCTGTATCACAGTGTAGTGGGGAAAATCCAAATTTTAAGTTATTTGGTATAGATTTAAGTCTTACTCTTGACATTTGATGGCTCAGGGGACTAGGACACCTATTCTTATATTTGCAAAATGATAACGTGCTTCACATACCTCTAATAATAAGTTAATATGAGAATGAAAAGCTTTTGCAAATGGTGAAATACTGAAAGAAGACATTTATCTTGTATAGTTATTTTATAGCACACTACTTTTGTAAAATGTGTTATTGCTCTTACCCCAAGTGGTTTGATGGTATTTTGAAAACAAAATTTGTTTGACTTCAAACTCTTTCCTTTCCCCCACAGGTGATTATGGAAGTGCTATTGAGACATTGGTAACTGCAATTTCTTTAATTAAGCAATCCAAAGTATCTGCTGACGATCGTTGCAAAGTTCTTATTAGTTCTTTGCAAGATTGCCTTCATGGAATTGAGTCCAAGTCTTATGGTTCTGGATCAAGGTAAAACTTTCCTGTCTCATGTCCATTTAAACAAAACTATTAGTTTACAAGTCGAAAAAAAAAAATACTGTGTTTGAAACATTAAAAAGAGGACTTTGCTTTTACTTACTGATTATTTAGCAGCTGGAGTTTCTTTTGTTGTTATTTTTAAACTCTGAATGTTAGTTGCTTGCTTAAACCCTTCAAAGGCTTCTACTCAGTCTTAAAGCAAGATTGTAAAGATTGAGGCACTGTGTGATAAAGCCTCTGCCTATCTTTTTAGCCTCATTTTGTACCTTTCCCCTTACTCCCTGTTCTCCAGCCATATTTCTCCTTTTTCTCTAGATACATCAAACATTTGACCACCTTACTTTATATTCCTTCTGCTGGGAGCAGTTTTCCCTGTCTCTTCACATAGCCGGCTCCTTATTCTTCTCATCTCAATCTAACTTAAGAGGGGGCTTCTCCCAAGTTAGTCTGTCATATTGTTCTTTTTATTTCTTCCATAGTACTTAAACCATAACCAATTCTTTATGTGTTATCAAGGCATATTTCTCATTAGAACACATATTGAATGATGGCAGGGGCTTTATGCCGCTCACTGTATTTCTTTTCTTTTAAGAGATGAGGTCTTGCTATGTTACCAGCTTGGCCTCCCAAAGTGCTGGGATTATAGGCATAAGCTGCTGTGCTCAGCCATGCTCACTATATTATTTCTGTTGCCTACAGAGTGGTACAGAATGAGTGCCAAATAAAAATTTCTTGAATGAGGGACTGAATGAATGAATGATCTATCTTTTAGGTAGTGTTGTGGGGTTTTTTATTTGTTTTTTGGTTTTTTTTGGTTTTAGTATTGCTGCTAACTTTGAAATTTTATATATTTTTGAAAGGCAGTCCTTTAATCTTCACTTGGTATTCTTAGATGTGTTTTTAGTGCGCTCTACCTGGTGGTAGTCTTCTTTAAGAGACAGGAGCTTGCCTTTGACATGGTCCCTAATTTTGTAATTATTACCTTTTTGACCCAGTGTAAGAATCTTGGTATCTGAACAGATTTATCATAGATACAGGTATCTTGTATCATCTTTTTAGGTTTTAAGGTCCAACGTAATAACTTTTTAATCCCATCACTTTGGGAGGCCAAGGCAGGAGGATTACTAGAGCCCCAGGATTTTGAGACCAGCCTTGGCAACATGGGGAGACTTTGTCTCTATAAAAAATTTTTTAAATAGCTGGGCCTGGTGCTGCATGCCTATAGTCCTGGCTGCTTGGGAGGCTGTGGTAGGAGGATTGCTTAAGCCCCAGAGGTCAAGGATGCAATGAACTGTAATCATGTCCCCTGCACTCCAGCCTGGGTGACAGAGAGAGACCCTGTCTTGAAAAAGAAGTAACAACTTAGGCCTTGATCAAGGACCTTAGCACTTAATGTTTGCTAAGCTTAGTTGTCTGGTGCAGAAATACAAGACATAAATATTCTTGTTTAATAGATAGTTATTTCCTTACTATAAATTTAGCAGAATTTGTAGAGGTCTTTTAGGCAGTAAGCTTTGGTTTAATTATTTGCTTTTAAAAAATGGCAGTTCATGAAATATTTCTATTTATTAAATACAGTGTGACTACTATATCAATTCATGCTACTAGTCATAATCATTAGCCTTCTCTCATGCTGCTTCTCCTCCCCTGAACATAATGTGTGTCTTAGAAAGTTTCTTAGTGTTCGGTGCTGCTTCTCATGAACTGTACTTTAGTTAGGTAGAAATGTAAGATTAGTATTTTATCATATGTTAGATAAATATGTTAATAGGCTGTCATTTTCATGTATTTTAGCCCCATTGTGTGTTGTGATTTTATGAATTTTATATCTAAAAACATACTGTAGATGTTCTTTAGCTTAAAACACAAGTGCTTTGAAATTTTCCCTTTTCTGTTTGTTCATTCAGTAAATACTACATGTCTATTTATGCTGCTAGTTTAAATTGATGATGTGATGCATTTCTGTGATGTGTCTGCTTGCTAGTTTTTTGGTAGTGTTTTTTAATAATGAAATCTCTGATTCGTGCTTACTGGTGAGTTGGTAAGTCATGATTGGCAGCTCCAGATAGTAAATTTAAACCAGATTTACAAAGAATCTTTTGCCACCTTAGATTTTTTTAGACACCAAAAAATTGACTATTTTTAAACTAATTATGGAGAGCATTAATCCAGTAATTTCTTTTAGAAGACGTGAACGATCAAGAGAGAGGGACCATAGTAGATCACGAGAAAAGAGTCGGCGCCATAAATCCCGTAGTAGAGACCGTCATGACGATTATTATAGAGAGAGAAGCAGAGAACGAGAGAGGCACAGGGATCGTGACCGAGACCGTGACCGAGAGCGTGACCGAGAGCGCGAGTATCGTCATCGTTAGAAGGTGGGTATTCCTTGTTCCTGTTATATTTAGCATGTGTATTCTTAACAGTAACTATGACTCCAAGGCTACTATTTATACAGTATATACCTACATTTTAAACGGTCCAACTACTTGTGAATTTTATCTTCTTGAAACATCTGAAACAAATGACAGGTAAGTAATGAGAGGTAAAAATTTTGACCCTTTATCTTTGAGTATTTTATTGCTGAGTTAATCACTTTTAGGTTTCAAATAGTTAATGGTCTTAACAAAGCAAGGAAATAATCAAGAGGACTCATTGTGTACTTCTAAAATCTAAAAATTGGGATTCTTGTAATCATATACTTAGTTTGTGTGTAATTTAAAATATAAAATACAGGGAGTTATTTCATATATATGTTTGGATTTTTTAAAATAAATGGAAAGTGACTATTCTTGAAATAGTTTTATTTGTCCCTAAAAATTTATGAGAAAATCTAACACAATCATAGTTTGTAATATGGGAGGGTGTTTTCTCAACATTCAAAGAAAGAGCCTTTTTTCTTAAAAAAAAAAAAAAAAAAAAAATTTTTTTTTTTAGAAGAGACATTGTTTTCCTGACATCCAGTTTTTGTTTTTAAAAGAAACAGTATCCTTTAATTTGCAAAGAAGATATAAAAGTTATTCAGTTAAAATGGGTTCAGGGTGTATCATATCTAAAAATTTTAAATTGTGTCAAGTCATATACCCAAGTTTAGAATAACTTGAAATAATTTTCTTTGATGTTTCATTCATAAATCATAATCATTGTCTTTTTTTCTGTATTTTAAAACTATTTCTTGTGTACATTTTTCATAAGTGGGAAGAGTTGTCTGTTAATGCTTCATTTTCACATGTAATTTTATTTTTTATATTTGTTAATAGCATTTATTCATGTGAAGAGCTGGGGGAGGGCAGTATAAGGCTTATGCATGTGACACAAAGGTTATTCTGTAAATTAAAATATTTTTTCTTTATATGTTGGTTGGCATATTCAAATTAAATAAGGCCAAAACAAACCCCTCATAGGTAGATTACTCTGTGATTATTTTCAGTAATCATGGGAAACTTACTGAAAATTCAGTCATGGTAATTGTTAGTATTTAAAATGTTATGGGCAAAATTAAAGGCTTTATCGTGTGTGTAATTCCATGACAGAATAGCAATTTCTTTAACCATAACAGATAACATTTTAGCAAATGAGATGCTTAAATGCCTAGAAAATAAGCATGCTGTTTTTGTGGAACACAAATAAGCTCTTACAGTGTTTACGATTTTAAGGGCTTTTTAAGTTAAAAGGCTGGTTTTGATACTTTTCTTTGCATTTGAATATGCAGATTGAATATCAAAACTTTAATTTTTATATAGTTTTCCATGTATTACAAAATTTAATATAAATCTCAAAACATTCTTTTAATGAGGCAAAAAAAATTTATACTTTTAAAACTAAGATTATTGAAATTGATACTGTTTTTTGATGTAAAAGTTGACTATTATGTAAATCTAAATACTAAAATTTAAAGAGGTAGCATTCTTTTCCCCTGAGTTAAATACATCTGATCCCATTTTAATGAAAAAAATTTCAATATCCGTCAGTTGCTTAAGGTGGATTGTGACTGGGCTGTTAGTTGAAATGCTTATCTATATCAGCCATTTTCATTATAGAAAGATACAGATTCTATAAGTTATCTATTTTTTTAGACTTCATAAGTTATCAACAAGCTTCTAGTTAGTAAAGGCATGATAATGAAACTTGAATTCATCTCCAAAATTGGATGTGCCCATTAGGGGCCCTCTAAGCCAATTTAAACCCAATGTTAACTAATTACAGTTTTCTTAGTGGTTTTAGTGAAACTAGCACAGTCAACAAGTAAAATTCTGAAAAGTCTATTGTTAATCTTAAAGTATATTTGAGTTAGCTAACATTACATTCTAGTAATGGGTACACCTAAATACATCATGGCTTGAGTTTCATTACATTCAGACATTAACTGCAAATTCCTAATGTGCAAACTATTGTTGACATTTTTCTTAATCACTGATGTACCATACCAGAATTTCCATGTTTTGTTTGTACATTAATCAGAATTGAGTTGTAATACTGTATGTGCCTTCATCCAAGCAAAATTTTACATAAACATTTCTAGTGCAAAAAATTTTGTTATCCTGGATTATTGTACGTTTGCTATATCAAACAGTATTTATTGTGGATGTAGACATGAGTAAAGGGGTGGGGAATGGGATTAAATATATTCAAGTAAAACTCTTTTTAAAACAAAAGCTATCTGCAAATTTGATCACCATCATAATAAGGTCTGTTGACCTTTTTAGAAGTTTTAAAATATGAGTCCTTTTGAGCTTTTATGTAAATCTTAAATGGACTAAATTGAATGAGTGAGTTGAAAGCTAAAGTGAATGTCAGTAGTAAGGCTGTATACAAATAAAATACTAATGTAATCTATTAAAGTGATGATGAATGGATAAAAGGGCAAGTTCTTAATTTAAATGGAAACTTAATGATCTTGGCAAGCTGTTAATGTCTGTCCCATCTTAATTTTTTTTTGTGTTTGACCTGTTGGTAACGTTAATTGCATTCTCTCATTTTAAAATGTATTGGTTTTTCTAAAAGTATTCAATATCTAAGTTCAAATAGATAATATTTCAATGAGAAAATACCAGTATTGTAAATTTCAGTATGTAAATACATTGTGCTTCATATTCTGTAATTTCTGCCTCTATTCTCAGACCACTCTGAGCAAAATAAAAGTAGTTCAGTGCTTTAAGATTGTACATTTCTTACTGAAATAATTCTAGTTTCATAGTTGAGCTGCTTAAAAGGTTGCATTCCTCTTGTTACTTCTTCGGAACATCCCTATTCAGCAAATTTGTTTTAACAATTTAGCTTTTCTTTGTTTACTGAAACCAAATTTTTTTTTTAAATACTCTTTATTTAGGCTTTTCCTCTCCCTATTTTATGAGGTTTTACAATTCTCAAATCATTATCCATGACTTTGACACAATTTTTAAGCATTGGGTATGGGGTCTGGATTCAATAACTTGCCTTTCCTGTCTTACAACTTTTTTCCTACCTTAAATATCTTGACCATAAGATCTTAGATTTTGTTATTTCACGGGTTTTAGGATGCTTTGCATTGTGTATTCAACTTACTGTGTTAATTTGAGAAAAAAAAAAAAAAGCCAGAAGAATTTTAAAAAATTCTTTCTTACGTGTTAAAGATGTTTCATTTTCTTGTTATCGTTGCTTTGAGGCTTATGTGAGAATTAAATTATCTTAATTACCTGGTGAATGATACTGGTTGTAATAAGATTTTAAATTGTTTCTGCAACTCTTATATTATGTGAGTTCTCTGCCTTATAGTTCCCAGCCCTGTTTCCTTGTGTTTTCCCATGTATCCTAACTGCTCTGCTTCATCTGGATATGCTAGCTTTCATTGCTTTAGCTCTGATTTTCCTTGCTTTGAGTATTTACAAAATCTGTCTCACTGCACAACTGACTTAATAGAAGTTACAAGAGGGAGTAGGAAGTGATCCCTTGAATGAATGTATAGTGTGTTTTGCTCACTGTGGTTTAAGAATATAGTTTTGTTTACAAATGATTAATGTTCCCTGTTTAAAAAAAAAACTCAATGCCAGTGTGAGTCACCTCGCTCTCTCACCTTCATCTCAGTGTTAAATTTACTACCATTGTTTTAGTTTGTAAAATAGATTGTTTTGAATAAATTCTGTCTTGAATGAATATTTAGTTAACGTCGTTTAAAGAAACCTAATAACCAGAAGGGGGTAAGGGTGCCATTTATGCTATCCAAATTTATGAATTTTTCTTTTGTGGTAGCATGCTTTAACTTTTCATGAATTATAAATAACAGGTTATTTTGAGATGTTCATTTTTGTAAATCTTTTGGGAACAAAGCTCATTTTTCTTTGTGATTACGTTTATTTCTACTATTTTAGTGGGTTGTAAGAGCAACAATTATTTATGTGTTTGATAGAGTAATAAAATGCTTTAGTTAAAATGAGGTAAGTACTATGTCCAGAGGTAGAAAGATGAAAATATGAAATATTTTGGTAGCAAGGAACTTCTTGTAAATATCTACAATAAATAGAATTGTTTTTGTGTAATATGTTCTAGTCAACACAAGAAGGAATTTTGATTTTAGAGCTAACTTGTATTATGTAGATAATTGTTTCTCTTGCCCACCTCATTTCCATTCCTCTCATTAAGGAAGAAATTACCAGATAGAGAAAAGTGAATTTTATTTCGTTGAGTCAATAGTGCATCTCTAAAATTATATGAGAATCCTTTTAATTCAATATATTAATGTGAAAACCTATAAAAGTGCCCTATCAGGTATATATTTGAATCTTAAAAGGATGCATTTACCATGAATTAAAAATACTAATTCTAACAAATGTGCATAGATAAGTTTCTAACAGAAACAATTATAATTTATTAATAACGACTTGATATATTATCTTAAAATGCAGGTACTTCTCTGTGTGTTGAAATTTTACTTAGTGCTCACTTTAGTTTACAGATTTTATTTAAAAGGCTGTAGATTACATTTATCTTCTTAGTTATTTTATCAACTGTTTACATAGGTCTTTTATAACTGATAGCTAAAGCAAGTAATTGTGTGGCTTTGACATTAACGATTTTACTAAATGATATATTGAAAACATGGTCATTGAATGTATTTGTCACTTTGAAGCTTCTTTTTGATATCTTTGTTGATGTAGTTGTCTGCCTAGACATTTGAGAGAGTATAATGTGGAATTGGATTATTGGAAATGGGTTGTGTTGCCTTCAAATTCACTTTCGTTTAAAACTGTAAAATTTGTATTTCCAAGTGCATAAATGTAAAGTGTTTAGAAATAGAAATAAAAACTGCTAGACTATCCCCCATATTTTATGTATGTATGATACAAATTAGATTTATTAGTAGTAAAGATCCATCTATAAAGTATAATCAGACAAAAGAGGAGTTCATTAGTCCTGGAAAAATATCTGTGTTGCAACAGGATTCTCTATATAAAAACAGTATAACGGGGCGCAGTGGCTCATGCCTGTAATCCCAGCACTTTGGGAGGCCGAGATGGGCGGGTCACCTGAGGTCAGAAGTTCAAGACGACTCTGGCCAACATGGTGAAACCCTGTCTCTACAGAGTTTCAAAATGCAAAAAATTAGCTGGGTGTGATGGTGCACACCTGTAGTCCCCGCTACTTGGGAGGCTGAGGCAGAGGAATCACTTGAACTGAGGAGTCGGAGTTTGCAGTGAGCTGAGATCACGCCACTGCACTCTAGCCTGGTGACAGAGCAAGACTCTGTATCAAAAAGTATAATTTTCCACTGGAGTGATAATGATATGAAGATGCATTATATGTGATCTGTTTTATGGAAGAGAGTTGAATGTTTTTGTTTTGCTCACTATGACTTTAAATAGTTTTTTCCCTCTTAATGACCTGATCTCTTTCATACCTTCCAGTGCAACAGAAAATTTAGGGAGATAGCATTCTTTCGCAGTTAGATTTATTAATTTCCCAGTAATTATTATTTCAGATTAGAATATATATGCCTTGTTTCTCTTTAATACATAAACCAGTTTTTTAAAAGTACATTGTAGACAATAAAACATTTGAAAGCTGCCATTTTAGATTTTTTTCTATTAGATAATTTCGTTAAATAGCATCAACATAAGGTGAAGATGCAATAAAAGATAACATTAGCAGTGGCCGAAGTTAACCTGAAAAATAACAGGCATATAGAAATTACGTATATAAAAGAAAAAGTCCCAATTGTAACATATATTTTTTTTCTTTTGCAATTTTTAAATGTTAAGTTACTACTGCTAGGTAGTGTGAATGCATGTATGTACTGATGCTCTTAAGATACTTACAACCCAGTTGGGGAGGCAAAGACAAAAGAAAAATTTATAGCAGTGGCAGAAATAACTCTTAATTGCAGAGCAAAAAGTATTTTTCAGTTATTTTTATGGCAAAATATCACTAAACATTGTGCCCTATGAACATGTTCAAACTGAAAAAAATTTTTTTAAAGAAATTTGTGCCCTCTTGACTCTTAAATCACTTTATTACTGAAGTGGTTTCTTGTAATTTATACATAAATTACCTTAGAGTTTCAATGATTACTTATATCCAAGTTAACTGAATGTTCCTTGTGAACCTCTCTATCTGAAGTTTGCATATATATGTATGCTTGAAATTTTAGATTATCAACTTTTTTTTTTCTTTTATGTGAGTTTTAAATGAACTTTACATTGTAGATTCCCACTTAGCTTGTTTTTGGTTAGTTTATGATACTACGTTAGGTATTTCTACATAGGTGGAATAGGGTAAAAGTAAAGTAAATGTTTTAAATTTGTATTACGTCTAAAGATATGTACGTGAATGTCATTGATTTAAATGTTCATACTCTAAATCTTATTTATAAATTTTGTAACATGGAACACCATTTGATTTATAATAATTGCGGAAGTTCCTGTATGCTGTCAAATAAATACAATTAATTTGTAAAATAATTTTGCATTTTATATTTAGTTCAGCATTTAATTGTTAAATGAGTTTATAGACTTGATATGTGGGTGAATGAAAAATATTTACATTAAAATCATCCAAGCATTTTCTGTTTATTTTTGTAGTTTGCATATTTTAGAAAATGACTTATGAATGTTTCCATCATCACAGAAACAGTAGCTGCTATATTTTCATTTCTGCCTCAGTCATTAAATTTATAAGGCAGTAATATCTAAGAAGAATGAAATCAGAAGATGTCAGTTTAATCATCAGATAAATTGGAACATTTCACCACACCAAGGCAGCTACTGTTTCAGTTAATTCTTATTTTGTGTTAGAAAACATAACAGTGAAATAGATGCACGACTTGTATATGTATAGTTAAGCCAGCATTTTTCTGTGTATTTTGGGGAATAGCAAAATCTACATCACAAATTTTGACACATTACAGCTGAAGGAAGAGGATCACCTTCCAAGACAAAACAGTCTTCATGGGGGAAAAATGACGCTTGTCCAGCAGTTTGCTTCTTGTGATTGAACTGAACCTGTAAGGATTCATGGATAAAATGAACAGGAATAGATCTGAATAAAGCAAATCTGCATAAATGGTAACCAGTAGCTCTACTTTTATTTTTTATGTTGCTTAACTGTTTTATTTGAAGGAAACCTGTGTGATTTAAAAAGTTATAGCTTTTGCAACTTTATTACTGGTTATATACATTTGGCCATTATAATGTGCAAGCAATTGGAAAAAAAAAAGTCAAGTAAATGCTTGTTTTTATAGTAGTTTGTTCTTGTTAAAAATGTTCATATGATAATGTCTGTAAACAGCACCACTTTGATTACAATAGATGTAGTGTTGTAATAAACTGTTCAATGGGGCTGATGTGTAAAGCTGTTCAAGTTATTTGATGTTTACACCTCAGGGAAAGTCTTGTGTTCAGCAATACCTAAAGATAATGTTACTATGACATTTTTACTGTCCTTTAAAGCATTGCAATAGCGTTTTTGGATATGCATCAATCTAATCTTGTGTTCAGTGAATTAAACACAGTAATTAAGTGTCTTTTGCCCTTGATTTTGATATTAGAATAGGTGATTACATGGATATTTACTATTTCTATATTCTGCTTTTCTAGCTGTTTTTACCTAGTTAGCTTGTGACTTTGCTGAATGGTATGTAAACTTGTAAAAATTGAAATTTGATGGACATAGCAATCCAGTCAATGTGTAAGGGGTCAAAAAATGGAGGTTTTTAAACATTTAAGTAAAAACCCATACATATTTGATATGTAATGCAGATTAATTACAACACAGATGTACCGAAACACTTAATTGTGAACCGCTAACATTGAGGAAATTTTGACAATTCTGATTTGATGCTGCAATTATTTGCTGTTTTTCTATTGAGTGTCCTTATGGTTTATTTTTTAAGCCATAGGCAATGTAAATACAGCCCCGCAGCAGATAAATGTGAGTAAAGAGTGGTTTCGTTTTATTTTCCAATTGGTACACATTTTTGAAGAATGTGATGTTCATTAACATTAGGTTGTATTCTCCAGTATTTGTAATGGGAAATGACAGGTATACTGTGTCTGCACAGTTTAAGGAATTTTGTGTATATTCCTGCAACCTATTGATTCATACTATATAGTTACTTAGTTAATCAAAGATTTTTTTTCAAACCTGCCTTACATAATAGGCCCTCTTTAAAAGCACCTGGCTAGTATGTGTTCTTGGTTGCAAAATTGGCGGAGGCGGGGTGTCAACTTGATTAAGTGTTTTTATGGGAATGTAATTTGAAATCACTACTTCAGAAATTTGAGTTAAAATTCTTGAGCAAGTTAATATTTTAAGATCTGATTATCTTTGAGAGATCTTTTGTTAATAGACATTCGTTGTTAAAGTATACCCAAATTCTAGGACAATGCTTAAAGTATTAAAATATCCTAGATACTGTGTTATGTGCAACTGTAGAAACCCTCCAGAAATTTCCACAGCTGTTCTTCAGTTTTGTCTTGTCTGCTATCAAACCACTTCCAACAAAATTAGCTGTTTTGAATTACCCATATCACTGCCAGTTTTATTTTAAAATATTTTGTGTTTGAAATATCTGTGCATGGGATCATTGATGTTTATCAGAACTGTTTGCTTTCAGAAATGATTTTTTAAGCGTTTTGTTGAAAATGCAGTTGCTTTTTTGACATTATTTTAGATTTGTATCAAAATTTTCATGTTTTCTGTATATAGTTAGTTTTTGTCATTTCTTGGCTTCTTAATATTTTAACTACAATGCTCTAATGTGAAGAAGTATGGACATATAATTATTACAAGAGAAATTAGTTAATAGCTTAAAAGGTAAGTAAAATGTCCATGAGAATAAACTTTTCTTTGAACAGTTTAAAAATGGAATCAGAAAAATCTAACTGTACTTGAAATGAAACTGGAAATTTTATACTAATGAAATCCTTTATTTACCTTTTCATTTTTTATCAGTGCAACCTTTTAATTGTTCCTTCTATATCACTCTTCTCCCTGCTTGGCTGATCTCATTACATGACTTTTGTTGCAGACAATGTGAGTGTACTAGATTTGTTTGCTGCTTATCCATGATGTTTAAGTGTTGTCAGAAGGAAGTAACTTCTTGGTTTGACCAAGTAATTTTGCAAAGTCCTTCTCTACCTGATAACACATGAATGTATAGCAGTAAAGGTGAAAATTGCAAGCCTTGTTTTGTTCTTCATACCCACTTCAGTTGTTTATGGGCTGATGTTATTTAAAAACTCTTCCTTTTTTTTTTTTTTTTTTTTTTAATGTGTAAAAACAATCCAAAGAGAGAAATCCTTGCATAGACACCAAAAAAAGTGTCTCAGAGACCTTTTTATTTTTTCCTTAGTTAATAACTGTAGTGGATATGAACACAAGTTGAATTTTTAAAACATAGCATTTATTAGTGCTATACAGTCACATTCCTTTCAGCCAGTAGTAAAGTTACAGATGAGTGATAGAGTACCTGAATGGTACTGCTTCTCAAGCGACACTTTGGATTGAAAGTGCTGCTTTTGGTTAAAGAAACTATGTTGTGGAAAGCATATACCAGTGTAAATTTGCAGATGCGTATTTTATTTTGTCAGTTTTCATAAGGTTTGGAGTAAGGTGCAGTGGCTTTTGATCATAGTTTAGCCCATTTAATGGTCCTTTACCTAGAATGTTCTTAAGCAGTTAACGACAATTTGGAATATACAGATAACTTGCAGCTTAAGATACTATTTTCATTTAATTCTCCTGTGGAGAATATTGCTTTATTTTTTACTAGTTTCAGGTCAGTTATTAAAATAAACATGGAGGTTTTAATGAATGTTGTATAATATTTTATAGTGAAAGGGGAAAATTGTTCAAAGGGTAAAGACTTTCTCTTTCCCTTATGTATTTAAATGTGCCAATCTAAATACATACTGTTTTATACAATGAGATGCTATTACAAGACTTATGTTGGAGTGCTCTCAACATTTTGGTTTTCATACCTGAATGATCATTTCATTTTCTGTATTTTCTAAAATGGCTCCAATTTTGTGTTTTAAGCTTCAGCTTAAGTTATTTTAAGAGGAAGTTTATGTTCTAATTCTTTACTGAGAATATAGTATTGAGATTCTCACTGTTTTACAGATAACTGGTTTTTAAATTTTACTCATTAAATTCACTTGCATCCCATAGCCCTCTGTAAATGTTTCCTCCAGTTGTATGTACTTAAATGCACGCTTATCCACTGTGTATGTTAGACATTTTTGTGCTAAAATATATTAGTGAGATTTTTGTAGCAAAGCATTCTATTTTTCTGTTCTTACTGTGTGTGGGGGGGGTTGGGTTTCAAACTTAACCTTCAGTTTAAACACTGGTGTATTTGGTTTATTTATTTATTTATTTATTTTTAAGCAACTTGACTCTTAGAAGCCTTAGGCTGATTTTTTTCACTAAACATTCAACCAAAAATTATAAATTTATTAAGATGTGGCCTTACATATGGCATTCCTTGTGTTCGTAATGTGAGATTTTTGGTTTAGAGAAATCAAGATTGAGGATTAAAGTTTCACTGTAAGCTGAAATAGAAAATATTAAAATGTCTAGGCTTCTGGGAGGAAGTTCTTATAGTCTTCTTTCTTGGCATTAGAAAGAAGGAGTATGAATTTTTGTGAATATTCTAAATATTCAGGCAACACTGTTCAGAATGATTTAGATTTACCTTAACTAATTTTTTTTTAAAATTTCAGGTTGACATTCACTGAGTATGCAGCTACTATGGTTTTTGTATGGGACGTATAAATACTTGATTATATATAGACAGATTTTAATGTCTTTAAAGACTTCCTGCTATATTAATTAACATATTGTAATGGGAGTCTTTTAAATATTAGGTTGAATTTAGTTGAAGTCACACAAATCTTGAAGCGGTAACTTTGCATAGTAAATACTACCAAGAGTTTTTTCATGTGGGAGTATACTAAAACTCTGCCATGGGTGTAAATGTTTTACATTAATTTCATAATTGGACAGACCCTGCATTTAGCAAAAATGTTTCATTTTGAAAGTGTGTTCTTTTTGTTGCATTGTTACTGCGTAACACTTCTCAGCATTCTGTAAGTTAAATTATTTTAAAATATTATGGTGAATTCATGTTTATTTTTTTACTTTGAAAATTGTAGTACTCAGGTGGTATTTAATGGGAAAGGATCCTTTGGGTGTAAATCACAATGTATTTTAAGGAATGCATCTATACTATTGATGACTTTAGCCTTAAAAAAAAAAAAAGGTCTATTCCTTCCTCTGCATCCCATGGTTTATTAGTAAAGTAGTTTACAGCCCTGTACAGCCTTACAAAGTTATTTTGCAATTTTTAATGGAAAGCCCTTAACAAAAAAATTGTATCATATTACCAATATCCATGAATTACTGATCACAGTTTGTAAATAATTTGTTTAATATGAGAAGGCCAAAGAAAGTCTTAAAATTTTAGCTATTGACTCTATGGTGACTTCACAATAAGATTTCTGTGCAAAAAGGTAAGGTGATAATTGATCAAATAGACTTTTTTTTTTCTTTTTTCCTTGTTCTTTTTTTTTTTTTTTTTTTTTTTGCTGTCCATGAGAATTAGACTTCATACTAGCTTCTATTAAAAACGCTCATTCCATTTTATTAAAATGTTTGTAATTGCAATTTTGTGTTTAATGTTTACTTTGTCTTTCCTTTCTTTAGCATTTAGGTGACTGTTGGCAGTTTGCTATATGGCCATTGTTGGTCTTAAACTGCACTAGTAACAAGCATGGTATTTATCTTGTATTGAAAATAAAACAAACTTTTGATAAGACTTTGCAGTTTGTCCTTTTTGTTTGATTTGTAATTTGGTAACCATTGTATATGGTTTAAATAGTTAATATATATTGGCAGTATACAATGTCTTGTGTATTGACATTTTGATGCTCTTTAAAGCAGCTGATACGCGGGCTAAAATTAGGATTAAGAGGCCTGGCAGATTTCTAGGCTGTTGTATTGTTTTTAAATTGAAGATTCAGAAAGCATTTGTCTAGTTTTAGATAATCATTAACCTCACTAGATTTTAATCAAGTAAAAATGCAGCAAAAATATTTTACTAGTTAGCTTGGAAACATTATAGGATACTTTTGAAACAGTAACAGATTTGTGATTTCAATAAATATTTCTGTGCCAGGATATTGATATCAGGCCTCAGATTTCTTACCTGCAAGCTTCAGAGTATGTTAACGGTAACAGTTCTAAACAACTGAAATAACATGAGAAATAGTATTACCATCACTGGGACCCCTTTCCATGCCTCTACTAAAATTGTGGTTCAAGTTTTTGTTAGATTTCCTATTACTCTTTGTTATATGTTTCCGTTAATTCCCATTTGTGCTGAATTAGTTGAGACTTGTCCCTGCACTGTGAGGGCATTTAACTTTAAACGAAGATCGTTAGGAATTTTTCTTTTTTTTTTTTTTTTCTTAGTCTAACTTTGTCGCCCAGGCTGGAGTGCAGTGTTGCAATCGCAGCACTGCAACCTCCACCCCCTGGGTTCAAGCGACTCTCCTGCCTCAGCCCTCCCAAGTAGCTGGGACTACAGGCGTGTGCTGCCGCACCTGGTGAAATTTTTATTTCACCATGCTGGCCTGGTCTCGAACTCCTGACCAGGTGGTCCGCCCGCCTCAGCCTTCCAAAGTACTGGGATTACAGGCATGAGCCACCACACCTAGTCCATTAGGAATATTTTTTGGCCAGA